GATGATTAAAATTCTACTATCTACACAATATACATAGACATAAAATGTAAAAACTTAAATATCTTAGAAACAGTAGCCAATCAGTTGTTTTAATTGTCATATTTGAATTCAGCACATCAAAATACATAATAAATAGCACATTTTATCTCTGAAGCAGACGACTTCTCAAAAATTGTAGACCAGTGTAATTGGGATGGGAATATCTGGTATGATCTGGATCTCCTGGATCCAGACCCTGGATGGCCAGACCCGACACCATGGACAACTCAAATGAGCAGGGTCTGCTGTGGTGGGAGCACTGTGCTCATTTGTTTCTAAGCTTCTATCTTTCAGCCTCCAAACCAGAACATCAGGAGAGCTGGTACCAGCTGAAGAGTTATAAAAATATCATGGTTATCATGTCACAACAAAGCCTGTGTTCAGCGTTCTGTATTGTATGTTCTATGTTCCATGTTCTGTGTCTGTCTCTAGTGGGTGTTCTGTGCTAGCATTAGAGAGAGGGGATACTACACTAGACAGGGTAAATGCCTTTTCCTCTCTCTACTTCCCTCATCTCCAACTAAATTATCAATCACATCCACCTCTGTCCAAAAGACTTTGGTCCCCAATGCATCATGTTTATTTTTTGTTAGGTTCTTTAATAATCATTTTGTTGTTGATTTTTGTTATTGATACGTTTGTAGTGTTAGTTACATTTTCTTGTATTGTTAATTCCACACTTTCCTCTATGCACCCAGGTTCTACTTCCCCAAGCCCTGAGGGGTAGTTCATGGGCCCCCATAACCTGTAGGACCTTGGTTTGTGATTGTAGGGCCCCATCTTTCAGGTCTTGGATTTGTTCCCCACAGGAGACCTCTTGAGAACAACTGCTAGTAATAGGGGATTCTGCAATATTTTAGCAACTAAATGTTAGTTTAAGTCCAAATCAATTTAACCTTGCATGACAACTGTGGTACTCATACAAATCTTATTTGTTGTGTGTTCTTAAGGAGGTCCTGACCTCAGTGACTTTTATTGTCTGATGGCTATTGCAGCATCAAACTTGGGACTCATTTTGTTTGTCAATGTACCCAATTATTATAATGGTGATGGTTTTATTGTATTCCCAATTATTATGATTGTGGTTGTTTGTATTTGTGTATGTTATATTTGGTGTTTAGTCAATTGTAATGGTTTGAGTTATATTCACCAGGTTATGATTGTTTGGTTTGTTTGCAACAGATCACCTGTGCCCTACAATGACAACAACTACTGTAAATGTTCATAGATCAAGGGGCGAGTGTTGTAGGAGCAGCAGTGATCTGTATGCTATGTATAAACTGTATGCTCAAAAGGTCTGTTACACTTCCCCCCCACTTTTGTCTCTTCTCCCTCTCTATATACCTGTGAAGTGGCTTTCCCCCTCCCCCTCCCTCCTGGAATGCTTGTGGGATGAATGGGCTGATTAAACAGCTGGAAGATCCGAAGAGCTCCCAGGTAGACAGGGTGTCTGGGACTCTAATTAGGCAGTGATCACACACCCAATGCGTGGATGCTGCCTGGACAGTACCCGAGGTGGAGTGTGACCAACCAAATGCAACCAAGTCATCTCTTGTTGCAGGCCATGAGGAGCAGGTTCTTAAAAGGGGAAGGGGCCATGTGCTCGGGAGTGCACTCACAAGCTTGTACCTCCTGTGACGGCCCTTCGCCCGAACCACCTGGCCAGTGGTTCACCACATTGCATTCCATCGTGCCCCGGGAAGACTTACCTGTCCTGGGAATGTGAGGATGCGAGTGTGAGTGTGACCCCACTCCCTTCTTTTGAGTTTAGCTATCAATATAATAAACATGCTGCTTTCTGCCAAACTCTGGTGAGTCATTAGTCCTCCCTAAGCTGACTAGCTGTCCCAATTTCAGATAATAGGTCGGATCTCTGTGCTGCCCCAGCAACAGAAGGAAGTAGAAGTCAAGGTTAAAAAAAACAAACAACCTTTTTGCTGTTGAAAGGGGGTGAGAACTGGCTTGTTTGCACTGACTGTGCAAACTGGAACTAAAACCATAGCTACACTCACAGGGCTGCTGGAACCTTTTGAGGAGAATATAGTGCAATGGCCCATATATACTGAGCGTTTTGAGCTTTTTGTTCTTGCAAATGACATTATAGAAGAAAAGAAGGTGCCAATATTCTTAAGTGTCCAATTTTTCTCCAAAACCACTGGTAATTGCTGAAAGTTATAGGTTCCACAAAAGAAACCAAAAAGAAGATGAAACCGTTGTACAATTTGTAGCTACTTTGAGAAAGCTTGCAGAACACTGTGAATTTAAGGAGATGTTAAATGACCCCTTACGTGACAGGTTAGTGTGCGGCCTGCACAATGAAGCTATAGGGAAGCGCTTATTGACAGAGGCTCAGCTTACCTTACAGAAGGCTGTTGATATTGTGGTCTCCATGGAACTGGCTACAAAGGAGGTGCAATACATCGGAGCATCCCCTAGGGCAGGGGTGGGCGAACTGCAGCCTGCGGGCCGGATCCGGCCCCTCAGGGTTTTGGATTCGGCCTGCGGGATTGCCCCCCGTGCCGCCGTGGGCCCCGCGCTGCTCTCAGAAGCGGCCAACACCACCTCCCTGTGGCCCCATGGGTGGGGGAACAGAGTGCTCTGTGTGTTGCCCTTGACTCCAGGCACTGTCCCCCGCAGCTCCCATTGGCCGGGAATGGGGAACTGCGGCCAAAGGGAGGTGCCTGGCGGTGCGGCAAGGGTAGGGTTACCATATTTCAACAAGCAAAAAAGAGGACGGGAGGAGCCCCGCCCTAGCCCCGCCCCTGCCCCTCCCACTTCCCGCCCCCCCAGAACCCCCAACCCTCCCCCCGTTCCTTGTCCCCTGACTGCCCCCTCCTGGGACCCCTGCCCCTAACT